GAGAAGATCTAAACATTTTCAACCGCCTTCACCTAAATGACATTTCTACTGCACATACACAACTACTGCAGAATACACGTGCTTTTAAGTCTATGTGTGATATTCACCAAAATAGATCATATACTGAACAATAAAAAAACTCTAGGTAGATTCAAAAAGACTAAAATGTTACAGAATACAATTTTTTGCACAGAACAGAAATTACAGATCACAGTAAGACAGAGAAGTCTCAAATATTCGGAAAAATTTGCTAATAATCCATGGGTCAATGAAGAAATCACGGAAGAAATTATAAAATATGTTGAACTAAATGGTAATGAAAATACAATATTATATTATTTGGGGGGATGCAGCTTAAGCATCATTCAGATCGAAATTTAAACCTTTAAAAGACAGATCTCAAAAATAAAAAAAGGTCTCAAATTACTAATCTTCCATCTTTAAGAAGAGTGAAAATAATATTGCACCAAAATCAGGTATAAGGAAATTATAAAAGGAGAAATAAAAAAATAAATAAATAAAAAGTAACAAATAAGAGAAAACCAACAAAAACAAAAGCTGGCTCTTCAAAAAGATGAATAAAATTAATAAAAGATCCCAGACCCAGAACGATCAACAAGAAAAAGAATGAATGAAACAGGGAACAATGCTACAAGGCTCTAATGACCTTGAGATAAAAAGGGAGTGTTATGAGTTTTGTGACCAAAACCTTATCAACTTAGATGACATAAATTCCCTGAAAAATACAAAAACAAGAAAAAAATCAGAAAATTTCAGTATTTTACAAATAAATTGAGTATGTAACTAAAAGCTTTCCCACAAAAACCTAAAATAAAAGGTAAGCTACAGATTAGAATATTTGTCTAATAAAAGATTTATACCCAACATATACAAAAAACTGTTACATTGGGTTGGCCAAAAAGTCTGTTTAGTTTTTTCTGTAAAATGAGAGACACTTTTTTCATTTTCACCAATAACTTTATTGATTTGGATATTCTGAGTATGTTGGCTATCTCTTGCGTGGTAGAATGTTGATTGTTCTCATTTAATATCTTGATTTGATTGCTGTTAACTTCAACTAGTCTACCTGACCATGGGGCATCGTTCAGCCAGAAATTTCCAGCATGAAACGTCGTGAACCACTTTTGACACCGAATTCGATCAGTCACCGCACCTTCTCCAAACACTGCACAAATCTTTTTTTTGCATTTTAGTTGCGTTTTTATCTTTCCTGAAATAATTAAGCATAAAATACCGAAAATGTCGCATGTTTTCTTCCATCTTCTATATCAAAATGGCTACACAAAAATTCACCAATATTGCTGAGTTTTTTTAATGCATGCTTATATGACAACTGTCACAATACAATCTAACAAAACTCTTTTGAATGAAGTTAAAGACATCTAAGTGCTACTAGAGTCATTGTGCTAAAAAAGCCAAATGAACTTTTTGGCCAATCCAATAACTCAGTATAAAAGAAAAGACACTGAAGTAAAAGAGACACTTCATGAAAGAAGGTACACGAATTGCCAAAAGGCACATGAAAAGATGCTCAAAATCATTTGTCTTCAGAGAAATGGAAATTAAAAACCACAACAGGTGAGAGGATAAACAAACTGTGGCCTATCTATCCAGCGGAATACTGATTATCAATGAAGGAACAACCCGCTGATACATTCCACAGCTTAGATGAACCCCAGAAAAGCCATGCTGATTCCAGGCACAGAATAATCTTCCCTTTAGGGAATTCAGAAAAGGTAAACTGAATATATAAAAAAGGTGACCTCATATAACCAGAGCGCAGAAAGGTAGGTGCCAGTGGCTCGGAAGCGAAGGGAAGGAGACTGGGAAGATGTTGGTCAAAGGGTACAAACATTCAATGACACAGTGAATGAACTGTGGGGAACCAAGCAGAGCATGGTGATAACAGCCAATCCCATACTGCGTTCTTGAAATTTGCTAAGAAAGTACATCTTAAAAAATGGTAACTATGTGAGGTGATGGATATGTTAACTATTTCACAATGTCTATTATTTATATAATCATCATGTTCTACAATTTTTTTCAGTCATATGGCAATAAAACTGAAAAAAATAAAGTTTTGAGACTATAAGGGAAAAAAAGGCAAAAGTAATCCCAGTATTTGTCTGGGGGCAGTGGAAGAAAGGTGGTTAATTGATGGAAAGAGTAAGAGAACATCTGAAGTGACAGAAATCTTGATGGAGATAGTGATTGTGAGTTCATACAGCTTCAAAGCTCAAAACTCTGCACTTAACGTGAATGGGCTTCCATTGTATGCTTAAAAAGGAACAGAAAAAAAAAACCCTCAAGAAGAGTTTTTTCTTCATGTCTTCAGAATGACTCCATTATTAAAAAAAAAAAAAAAGTAACTCAACTGTATTTAAATCAGACCTGACAGTTCCCACATTACTTCTCAGATCACCTCTAGGACACTAAATGTGAAGCGTTCTCAGAAAAGATTTTGATGGTCAATTAAATTTGGAAATGATTCCTACCAGAGGTTCACAATCCTTGCTAGCATATTAAAGACCTCCTTTACCGAACGCCTATGAAAAACTGTCTCACGGTGTACGGTTCGGGAAATGCCAACTGCTCTAAGGATCTTATCTTAAACAATTCTCTGGGCTCCACACCCCAAAGCACAGCCACCCTGGAGTAAGTGCCTGTGAGTCTGAACAGAACACTAGACAAACAACACCTGGGTGGGCAACAGGCATCTCAAATGGTCTAGGTCCAAAACTGAACTCCTGACAATCCCTGCAGCCTTACCCTACCCTAACATCATCTTCATCAAGGTAATTAACAACATTACATCCTTCTGGTTGTTCGGGCTAAAAACCTTGACATCATTCTCGATTCAATGCTTTCTAACACCCAACAGTCAGTCAGTCAATTAGCAAAACTGCCAGCTTCACTTTAAAAATATACTTAGAATCAGGTCACGCTTCACCGTGACCACTATGGCTACCCTGGCTCCACGCTTTATCACCTCCTATTTGTATTAATGCAACAGGCCAGAAATTGGCAAACTTTGTAACGAGCCAGACAATAAATGGCTTTTCTGGGCATAAGATCTGGGCTGCAGTTACTCAACTCCTCCACGGAAACGCAAGAGCAGCCACAGACACTGTGTAAATGAGTAAGTGTGGCTGTGTTTCTATAACATTTGTTAATGAATAATGGAATTTGAATTTCATATAAAGTGCTGTTTTCTTTTAAAATATAAATTATATGATGCTTTAGAAAAGCTTCTTTTTAACATCTCTTCTCACCTTTTAATATTCAAAGACAAAAAATTTTAAAACCAAAATGGTCCTTAGAGGACATCTGCTTCAGCTCTCATTGTGTAAATGAAAAAAAAAAAGACACAGAGGAGTTTGCTTACTTTCTTAAAGGCACACAGCTACTGTTTTGCTGTGTATAATGCACAACCATGGTTTAGCACTACCCATGTATAGTGCGGATCCTTATTTTTTCCTCAAAAATTTGGGCAAAACGTGCGCATTAGACACGGCAAAATATGGTAGTTACTAATACAGTAGATTTCTAATTGAATGTTCTTTTCCACGTTAATAATTTTTAGAACTAAAGTAGCTTACAGAATGACTAGAATAATCTAACAGGTCAGTAAGAGTTTTAATTATTAAACAACCGCTCTATTTAATATACTAAGTGAAATCATTTGTTTAGTTATGAGCTGAGTATTTTCAGTTATACACAACAAAAAAAGGTATTATTATACACAATAATGTTAAGTTACCTGTTCTGATCATGGGACTAACAACCCACTATGCTTAGGGGAAAAAAATCCTTTTCTATAAATCTTTTCAAGACTGCACAATTATTTTTAAAAAGGAGAAAAATTACATGGCTTAATAGTGTATATTTACAGATTTTAGTTTGCATTTAGTCTGTTTGTTTATATTCCTTATAAGGTCTATCAAACAGAATTTACATGGAATTAAGTATTTTCTTACGAAGAGTTCATTCTGTCAGCTAAGCGGAAATTTTTATATTTTGTAAGTTTACTTGTAGAATAGACTACTGGGAAATAGAGAACAGTAGACCTTCTACTTCATTTATGTAAATGTCAACAAATTTCTGTTGGACAGAATATTAAGTCTTCCTAGTTTTTTCAATAGAAAGTTAGAGCTCACATTTCCATATATTTAACTAATACAATAAATTTTAATGTCTTAGAAAACCAGTCATTTATTTTCCATTGAAAAAGGTGACACTTGGTAGGAGCTTCACCGTCATTTCTAAAGTTATGACAGGTTTCTGCAGCAATGAGGGAAAGACAAGGGGGTGGGGACTGGGCAGGACAGAGGGAGAAAGGGTAACAGGAGGGAAGGGCGGCGGAGAACACACAGGTGCCTGGTACATCAGTAAAGTGAGCTCTTCTTTTTGTAACAATACAGAAGACACGAAAACATCTTACCAGGCTATGGGAAAGTTTCACTATGGGAAACTCTTCCTAAGGGAGACGACAATGTGCCAGGAGAGCACCTGGAACCCACAGGCAACTCCGAGAGTGCTCTCCTGCGGACACGGCTCACCCAGCGCCAACGCCAGGCAGACTTCCGTCGGCTCTCGTTACTGGCTTACAGGACAGTTGTCCCACTAAAAAGAGAGCTTTCATTGCCCTGCTTACACCTTACCATGTAACACACAGAGTGATGCAAAAATGATGATACTTTGGAAAAGGAGGCCATTAGTTGAGTTTGCTCCCCTCTTAACACTTCTTTCACAAATGCACGCGCGCACACACCACAACCCCTGCCACATGCTTTCCCATGTATAGATGTAAGCAAATGTCTGCTTGTCTACTGTATTCAAGGAGTCAGATTATTGTTTTATTTCATATAAAACTTCTGAACAGCCACTGAACCAGCCTAGTAGAATAACCTTATGATAATTTAAAATTCAACAGAAAAGGGGCTAGAGCCCAAATCTAAGACCTGGGAAGCGTCCCTTACCGCAGGCACCAGCAACTTCTTCACTTCCTCCACGGCTCTCTTCAGTTTGATCTCTGCTCTGTTTTGAGCGTCTTCCACAGTGATCAGCACGTGTAGATCTTCATTGAGATGCTCCCAGTTCGGCTTGCCTCTATTTTGTTCCTCCTTAAAAATGTACAAAAAACACTATTACGAATTTTTCTTTTCAAAAAGAAAGCATATTTTTCATAATACTAATCTATTGTCACGTACTTAAGCTATGCTTGTAGTATTTTTCTATGATGACATTATAAATATTTAGAATTATTTTCCTGGCAACACCACCCAGTGGGTCCTGACTGACCCAACATGTATCTGTTAGTCAGGGACTGTGTCCCACACCCGGAGCCAGGTGCCCGGGGCACAACAGTGAGGATGGTGACCCTTGCCCACAGAGCTCCTCTGTACTGAGACACTCGTCTCTGCTGTCATGCTGAGGTCTTCGTGAAAAACAGGCTGTTACTTCTGCATTTTACTCTAAGTAAAGAGGAGATCGTTGGGGTTACTGGCAACTTAAGTTTGTCATTATCAAGGTCGCATAGCTAATAACTGGCCAATTTAGGATCTCAATCAAAGTTATGAAAACTCAAACTCAGTGTTCTTTCCATTTTGTTACAATTACTTTTTAATACCATTGACTGAATTCAAGGTTAAGGAAAGAATATTGAAAAAAGATTATGTGGAAGAAATAAATGTCATCTATTTTAAGTATTTCAACTAGTATTTATGGAACTATTTTGTTATAATCACAGTAAGAAAAACTACCTTTCTATCATTACTAGCTTACTTTTAAAAAAGTGAACTGCAAGGTTACTCTTTAATTATTTCCACCCATAAGTACTAGTTTAATAGAGAAGATCTACATTTCATTTCCTTGATGTGTTCAATCACCTCATGAGGAATATCTCCAGGTTGGAAACAAAAAAGTTGTAAAGTTGGCCACACTTCCCTTTCACCTGAGATACAGTAATGTCAGAACCGCTTCTTGAATTAAGTTTGAGAGATAATATATATTTATAAATAATTTAAAATAAATGACTGTTAAATATAACTTAATATTAAACATAAGACTATAAACTTAAGTATAAAAATGGTATAAATAAATGCACCTGTCTCAGTGCAAGGCACCATATAAACAATAAATAATACCTCTGGTAGGTCTCTATTTACTAAATTGTGAGACTCTAATCAAAGGAAACGGGCATATGACATAGCTTTCTACTACAACTTGTATGTCTGAGAGGCCATGCTAGAAAACAATGTAGCTTAGCCAGTAAGAACAGGAATAAGTTGTAACTTCTGCCTTTATTTCTGTTCTTATCATCACTATGAACTGCATCCAAATGTTGCGAGGGGAAGAAACCAGGCAAAGCACAACATCCTAGGGGAGGCCACCCAGGTGCCTCCGAAGAGTGAACTCAGAGTCACCAGTGCGCTCACAGGCGTGAAATGGAGCTACTTAAAATCTCAAGGGCAACAGCACAGTCCATGCCCCAGAACAAAGAGCCAGAATGCTTACAGAAACACAAACAGCTGCCGCGCAAGGTGACAGTCACACTATCTGGCACCTAGTCAGAAATTAACAGGCAGGCAAAGAAGCAGAAAAACAACATACAAGAAAAAATTAATCGAAACCTAGAACTGACGTTATAAGTAACAGAAAAAGACACTGAAGTCCAGTATGTGCGCGCGCGCTGTCTGCCTGTGAGAGAGACATCGATGCATAAAGACACTGATACAAAAAGAACGGAAGAATATTTATGATTCAAAGTATTTTAGAAAGGCCTTAGAATGAAAACTAAAATTGTAAGTAATTTACTATAGAAACTTTTCTACATTGAGAAGACAAAATGGTGAGATTTTAAAAGCGAAGGATTTTTATTTACATGACAGAAACGGGAACAAGGTTGCATGTTTTATTAAAGGAATAAATTCATGAGTTGTAAAATACCTTGGTAAATGTATACTCAAGCCCATAACTTAAGTGTCAATTAAAAATACAAAAGCACAGACAGTAACACTTATCCTAGTGTTTGCTACAAAATAAAGTTTTGCTTACAGTTTTAAAACCTGTTTAAAGAAAAACTTATAGACAAAATTGGTGAAATTATAATTTAATTGTGTTCCTTCACTCCCTATCACTCTTCTAAAATGCGAGGTCTCTCTAGAAGGTATCCATCCATGTAATATGAAAAACAGACATTTACTGAAGATAAAGGATACAAGGAACACCGTGTACAGGACAGTGATGCTTCAGTCCCCTTCAAAGTAGGCATGTGGGGACCTCACACAGTTCTCCCAATCACCATCAGCTGCCCCATCGTATTTTCTTGAATCTCACTGATGGTCTGAAATCTCTTCCCTTTCAAAGATGACGTTAATTTTGGAAAAAGCCAGAAGTTGTAGGGCACCAAATATGGGCTGTAGCGGGGCTGAGTTACCTGGGTGATTTGATGCTTCTCAAAAAACTCTGCACAAGATGTGATGTATGAGTGGGCATGTTGTTGTGGTGAGCTGCCAATCACCAGTTGCTCATAGCGGCGGCCTTCTGAATCATCCAAATAGTTTCCATGGAGGAATGTTCAAGCTTAACACAAAATTGGATGCAGATTTGTTGCTCTACTCTCTCACTCATTTTGAATGTGACAGCCACACAGCACATACGCTCACTCAGCAGCGCCTACCGCCCCCACTGACTAGTACAGTGCAGTCGTCATTGTCCACGCACGTGCATTCCAGTTCAGTCCATTCCCCTTGGCTACCAGGTTACATTGATGTTGCACAAACCATTCTTGTTATATTAACAACAGCTGGACCTTTTCCAGACAGACTTTGTACAGTAGTGTTTAAAATGTACAAACTCACAAAGAAGAAAATGAGAAAGCATTTAGAAATTAGAAAGCAGATAGCCAAGTTAAGGAAGGACTTAGCCCACCCCAAGTGAGAAGGAACCAATTTATCCTGCAGACCTCCACCCCCTAAAAATGCAGGGGAAAATGGCAGCAATGAGGCAAGGGGCGGGGTAGGGGAAGGCTAAGACTGAAACTGTCCCTGACACTGAATTCTCACTAAGGAGCAGCTGAATCTCCATGTCGCTGGCCCCAGAGAGCTGGCTATCTAGCACTCCCTAATTCCCAGCAAGATTAGAAATGCATTCCTAAAGACCTCCACTTTCTGGAGCTGGGTTTCGAAGGGCAGTTCATGGGGTCCCTTATACACTGAAGTGCGAGATGTTCAGTCTTCTCTGTCACTCTACACCGCAGCAAGAGCTGCCGGCCCACTCCCTGGGGGCAGGTGACTGGGAGACCTTTCTCAGGGGAGACTAACCAGCCCAACAAAGAGAAAAGAATTTGAAGCAAGCAAGCAACCTCTGAGCAAAGAACTCAAAAATCTGCAGAGTTAGAAGCTACTGCATCTTTAAAACTAGTAGAAAATGCTCTTAAAAGGATTCTTAAATGCCCTTCAAAACATATTGGGTTGGCCCAAAAATTTGTTCAGTTTTAAATAAAAATAAAAGACATTTTCATTGTCATCAATAACTTTATTGAACAATGTATTCACTCTTTCATTTTGCTACCTTCTACCATCTTCCAGGCAACTTCATAATTCCATCTCCCCAAAACTTTTATCTTTTTCAGCAAAGGAGCTGTTCCAGGTGCCTTTTGCAGCCTTCCAGGGAGTTGAAACCCAAAGGTGCAGTGTCTGGCGGATATGGCAGATGAACCAGAACCTCCCAGCCATGCTGTAACAGTGTTTGCCTGGGCATCAGAGACACTTGCGTTATCCTGGTGGAGGATTTTGTGGGGGTTTTTTTAAATTTATTTTTTACTTTTAAATCATGTGTATTCTATTACAGCTGTCTCAATCTTTCCTCCTTTTCCCTCCTCCATCCATCCCACAGTCAATTCCCACTCAGCTGTCCATGTCCATGGGCCATTCACACATGTTCTTTGTCTACTCCGTCTCCTTCTTTCCACCACTGTCCTCCTTCCCCATCCCCTCTGGTCACTTTCAGTCTGCTCCATGTTTCCATGCCTGTGATTTATTTTGTTCGTTATTTTATTTTCTTTTACTTTCTACTGACTAATTTCAGATGCTCTTCATGAAGTACTGCTTTCAGTGGACTAACTGGAAGCATCAGTTGTTGGAATTAATCATCAGGTTTTCCAGAAGTAGCTCATAACAGAGAACTGCCTTCCAATCTCACCATATACACAACATCACCTTCTCCTGACGAAGCCCAGCCTTTGGTGAGATCGGTGGTTCACTTCGCTTGCCCCATCATCTCTTCCATTCCACATTACTGTGTCAAGTAACCACTTTTCATCGCTGGTCACAATTTGTTTTAAAAACAGAATGTTTTCATTACAGTTACATTTCAGTAGAGAATTGCATGCAGAAATAAGGTCAAGAAGGTGTCCAACCCCCTCCCCTGACTTATCTTATGTGGAACCCCAACATCAAAGCAACCAAGCTGGTGCAACTTTCAATGCTTGATTTTCAATGCTTGATTTCGATGTTCTGAGTACGTCGACTCTCTCCCATGTGGCACAACGCTGACTGTTCTCAACTAATGTCTCGATTTGATCACTAGCAACTTCAGCGGGTCTACCTGACAGTGGAGCACTGTCTAGCGAGAGATCTCCAGCACGAAACTTCGCCAAACCACTTCTGACACTTTCGATCAGTCACAGCACCTTCTCCACACACTACACAGATCTTTGCGTTTCAGTTGAGTTTTTACCTTTCTTGAAATAATAAAGCACGATATGCCAAAAATGTTGCTTATTTTCTTCCTTCTTCAATATTAAAATGGCCACACCAAACTTCATCAATTTTGGTAAGTTATTTTAAAATGCATGCTGATTTAAAACGTAAACTGAAATGACAGCTGTCACAATATGATCTAACAAAATTGTTTTGAATGAAGTTATAGACTAAGTGCTACTAGAGCCAGCCTATGGAGAAAAACGAAAGAACTTTTTTGCCAACCCAAAACCAAAATATAAAAAAGGATGACACTAAAAATGATAGTAGAAATGAAAAACTGGATAGAGTGGTTAGAAGATAAAAATTGAGGAATTCTCCCTCCAACTAGTAGCAAAAACAAGAAATAGAAAATGACA